ATCAGCGTTGTCACCAATACTTTCTCATGGAATTTGTGACTGATAAGTCATTTATTCGAAAAAAAATTAACCATTTTATAGTGAAATCATCACAAATTAAAACCGTTTACAAGATGAAAACAGTAGAATAACCGAACATTTAATGAATAAATATGGATGAAACAATTCCTCAAAATATTCCTCAACGAAGTAGTTGTAGAATGAATGAAGAAAAACTTGGCAATTTTTATTTGTTTGCAAAAAAAGCTAAACTTTAGAAACCCAAAATATTACCTCATTATTGGTCTTACTCGACGTTGCATTACTCGACGACGACTGACTGTTCAATTTCAAAATCTTAACATTTTTGATATTGACTATTGGCAGCGATAAGAGTTTCTCGTTCAAAGGATGCCCATTCCTGTAATATCAACAAATCATCAACTCATCATCTCAAATAAAACTTCATCAACCAAAAATACTGAAATAAATTTATTCAACCACCAATTTTCATTCCCACTAAAATATTTCCACTCGTCATTCATACGCTTTCGATTAACCATCAACTAACTTAATAATACATCAATACGATCCTCAATTCTTTTACTGATACAAAACAAGAAATTATGACGAATGAAATGCAAAAAACAATGCAAAATTTCAAACCAAAAGAGAATCTATTAAAAGATGAACGGATATATAAGAGATGTACACCAATACATAAACATCATATGCATATTTCATTAAACATTGAATCTTCCACTGTGAACAATCAACAAAGAATTCGGCTTAATCAAATGAAATCACTTACTTAAAAGCACGTTCAATAGTGATTGAATTTGTTGTGCGATCGACAGCGGCCAGTCGACCTTGTATACACGACTCATCAGTACAATCCACCGATATCACCGAACCGATACAATACGTTGCCGAAGAAGTCATTCTCGACGCGAATCTAAATTATATAATCATCTTTTCGAATTCGTAACAAACACGTATTTCTTGATCGTTCACAATCAGTTAAAATTCCGACTGAACCACAACAATTCCAGGTAACGTTGTATTTCAGGTTGGTAAAATCAAAACGGCATTTCGTTCACATTCGCAGTTGAATATGTTACTTAGTTAGAGCACAGCAAGAAATGTTTAAACGAACGAAATGTCGTTTTAATTTTACCAAACTGCAATACAACATTACCCAATTCCAATTATGGGCAAAAAATCAGAATGAACAAACCGATTTTCATTTCACATCTAACAATAAGACGTACTCTTCCTTTAATGTTCACAAATCAAGATTTTTTGAGTGCAAAAGTCAGAGATGCTTATATTAGACCATACTATTACGAAAAGAGGATGACTATCAGATTCACAAACTCAAACAAACAACATCTGGGACAATCAGATGTATCTGAATTGATATTTGAGAACATATTGATGAATGCAATAGCTAGCTATAACAATAATTAATGACACATTGTTCAAGGCACGATAAGCACTCCGCTTTAACCGTCGTTCTCCCCTTTGAACTGATGTCTTAACCAACGTTACAATCACATTTTGCTTACGATTAGTTCACTTCTTTCATAACAAAAAAAAGAAATAACGAGAATCGAAGCAATGCAATGCACACACTCTGCGAAGCAATCAAACGAACGAAATTTCATTCGTTTCGTTCGTTCGCATTACTTTTGTGTGTGTATTCGCATGAATTCGTCTCAAAGCAATAGAACAAATTGAGATCGGCGAGTCTACTCCATAACGATTTACATCCTTCATTCACGTTTATTCCAACAAATTACTCGTTTTTTTTTCTACCCATAACACGCACATGTTTATAGAACTTTTCAAATGTGTGCAGAGTATTCTTTGAGAATCGATTAATCCGTTGAATGTTTGAGATAAATTATTCATTATTTTTATTCACGATCAGACATTATTATTTGAGACAAATTTATTCATT